CCGGACCAGAAATCCTTTTTCGACTTTTCAGATTTTTGGAAAAACATGGTTACCGTAAGAAAGTTCTGAACAAAAGACAATTTTTTTTTGAAAAATAAAATTTCAGAAAAAAGGAACATTTTCAGACGGAACAAACGGAATTGGTAATAAGGAAGGAAACGCTGATTTCTTTTTTGAAAAAATATTTTTTTCAAAAAAAAAATTCAGCTTGTCTAAACAACAGGATGAGACACAATAGGTGACGAAAAAATTTTTAAAAAGAGAGAAAAACCTTTTTTGAGGGAGAAAAAAAAGATTTTTGAACTCCGGACACTTCTTTTTTCTGAAGTCATTTGTTTCAAAAAATGGGCATCTGAATGGCTGGGGCGGTACGCTGGACTACAAAGTACAAGTTTATTTTTGGAGAAAACCAAAATGTTCCGGAGATGTTACAGAAAAAAATTCCAAAAGATTCTGAAAAAATTCTGAATACCAAAAATTCAAATTTTCCGAGTTTCAAAACTCAGGATGCCGTAAAACCTGTAATAGAAGGGCACCCACACTGTTAAGTCTGAGTTAAATTATCTCGGCTCCTGTTAGAGATATCCAAAATATGTCAACTGATAATATGTTGGTGGGATTATGATAAACAACTTATTTGTTGACAACTTTTTGATATCTCTCATAAGAGCCGAGATAATTCAGCTCAAACTTAATAGTGTGGGGCCCTTCTATTACAGGTTTTTCGGTATCCGGGAAATTCTGAATTTTTGAAATTCTAAAGTTCATAGATTTGGAAGTTGAGAATATCGAGGAAATCCCGAATTTCAAAAATACAAAAATTCCAAACTTCAGATATTCAGAAATAGGGAAAATAAGAGGAATTCAGAAATTCCAAAATTGAGAAATTCAAATTCAGGTCTATAAGTAAGATACCGTAAAACCTGTATTAGAAGAGGAAGGGCCCTCCGAGAAGGGTTTGGAAAAATAGAAGGGTTCCTTTAATAAAAGGGCCGACCTCCTTCAAAATGTGTCTTTGAAAAAATTGAAATTGAAAACATTCCGTCCGTTTTCAGTAAAAAAATGTTCCGGGAATTCCAGAATTTCGCAGAAATCACAATTTTTTGAATAAAAGACTTGATAAAATTTGGTGAAATTGACAGATTTTCATGAATTTTGAAAAAAAAAATGTGTCTTTGAAAAAATTGAAATTGAAAACATTCCGTCCGTTTTCAGTAAAAAAATGTTCCGGGAATTCCAGAATTTCGCAGAAATCACAATTTTTTGAATAAAAGACTTGATAAAATTTGGTGAAATTGACAGATTTTCATGAATTTTGAACTAAAATTCGTCGAATTTTTCGATGAAAAATTTCGGGAAAAAACAGTCATAATTATAGGACACCCCTCCCAAATGAGTGTTTTGAAAAAATAAAAAAAAAGAACTAAATTCTGTAAATGCTGTTCGATTCAGCGTGTGGAAAAACCTGTGTCCACTGAATTTCAGACCAATTGAGCAATTTTTGAGCGCGCAGGACTCAAAAGTTACTTTTTAGGCCGCGTCATAATTATAGGACACCCCTGGAAAATGAAAAATCTAAAAGTTTTTTGGGACAGAAATTCAAATTTTTTTGTTGAAAACTGTCAAAATAGTCTCAAAACAGCCTATTTTGACAATATACACAATCATTGATCCTTCTATTCAAGTTTCAGAAAAAATTATTTTCAGACTTTTTTGTCATTTTTTGGATTTTTGAAATAAATCGTGAATAACTTGGCTCCTGGGTGAGCTTTCCGTAGGAGCTGGAATTGATAGTAAATATTTTTTCAGTGATTTGGATTGTATACTAATTGTTGTTATGATATTCTGAGCTGTTGTTTCCAATTTAAGCAAGACTAAAATTTCTAAAACTGCCCTTGAAATTCGGTGAATGTGATTATGGTGAAAAACTTGAGTTGGTGACTGAAAATTCTCATTCCGTACTAATACTCCATTTTAATGGCATTTCTGGTAATTTAGAAAGTCTTTCGAACATTATTTACAGCGTTAACAATTTTTTGGTCCCGCAATAATTTTTCTGTTCAAACTTGGCCTCAATTTTGAGCTTTCGAAGCTCAAAATAACTCGAACACTTGCAACTTGATAATGAGCACTGTTAAACGTTTCTTATCAATTTCAGGAGCCAAGTTATTTACGATTTATTTCAAAAATCCAAACAATGTCAAAAATGTCTGAAAATAATTTTTTCTTCTGAAACTGGAATACAGGGATCAATGATTGTGTATATTGTCAAAAAAGGCTGTTTTGAGACTATTTTAACAGTTTTCAACAAAAAAAGAAATTTAACAAAAAAAGAAAAAAAAGAAATTTTTTGAATTTTTTTCCCTAAAAACTTGAGATTTTTCATTTTCCAGGGGTGTCCTATAATAATTATGACGTGGCCTAAAAAGTGACATGTGAGCCCTGTGCGCTCAAAAATGGCTCAATTGGTCTGAAATTCAGTGGACGTAGATTTTTTTTCAAAACACTCATTTGGGAGGGGTGTCCTATAATTATGACGCGCACTGTAGAAGGGCCCCTCTAATTAAAGGGTCCTTGCAATTAAACGGCGCTCCGGAGGTATCTCGGAATAATCGAAGGGCCGGGCCTTCTAACATAGGTTTTACGGTATTCAGCAATTCAGAAACTCAGAAATTCTGAAAAATTCTAAAGTTTTGAAGTTCTGAAATTCAAAGAATTAGATATTCGAAATTTTGTGGTTTATGGATTTTTCAAATCCAGAAAGCCAAAAATTTTCAAAAAAAATTCGAAAATCAGAAAATGAAAACATTCCGAATTGTACAGAAATTCAAAAAAAATCTTAGGTATTCAGACAATCAGACACTCCGAAAATCTGAAATTTGAAAATACCTAACAATTCGAAAATTTTGGAAATTTGAAACTCGAGAAATTATAATTTCAGAACTTCAGAAATCATAAAACATTTTCGATAAGCTAACGAAAGACCAAAAAATGGACTAAAACTAAAAAAGAATCTCTCCAAAAGAAAAAATCTCTTAAAATAATTTCTTCTGGGAACAAAAACTTTCCCAAAACCTTTTTCTCAAAAAAGTTCCGGGCGCATTTTTTCTGTGAAACGAATCTCTAATTATGGAAGAAAAAAATGTTTATGCATGTGTGAATATATGGAAGTACGCTCCACTGCACAGATAGAGAGAGTATTTGTGGTTTGTAACTTCTGGGTGAAAAATTTTAAATGTCCAGCACTTTTTGGTTGTGGTTTCCGGATTTTTCGAAATTTCCGTTTTTTTTTCACACGTCATTTTCATTTCTCCGAAAAATTTCTCTTTTTCCAAAATGTTCCAAACTTTTTCTGCAGTTATGTTTTTTTTCTGATCTATGAACTTTTTCATTTTTTCCAGCAAATTTTTTTTTGGAAAAATAGGTTTTTCCGCTGAAAAATGAAACCTAGAAAAACAAGGGAATTAGTGAAATGAAGTTTTTATGAGGGTTTTTTTGAAATTAGAGAAAACAGGTTTTGAGAAAAAAATTTAGGAAAAAAGGGAGTTTCAGCGAATTTAGAATTTCCAAATTTTGAAATTTCGAGAATTCCATAAACTCTGAGTTTCGGCTATTCAAAAAATCTTGGAAATTCTGAAAATCGAAAATTCAGAAATTCAAAATTTTTTTATTTTTGTTTCAAAAATTTCAAAAATTTTTCATTTTTCTCATAAGTTTTTTATTCTCAACAGAGCACATTTTCAAAAGAAGGTCACATCAAAATTAATCCCTCTTTTCCTATTTTTTTCCTTTTTTCTCATTCATGGTTCATGGTATTAACTTTTAAGCCTATGGTCATGGTCCCTAAAATTTCAAAAATCAAACAAAAAACACTTTCTCAGAGAATCAAAATCACAGGAAAAAATGACAAAGTACGGATTACACAGGACCACCGAAAAAAAATTTTCCCACAAAAATTTTTTTTTCAAAAAAATGAGTCATATTTTTCTGGGGAACAGCTAGTAGAACAATAGGGTTGTTACTAATGAGATTTACTAATTTTTGTTTCCTTTTTTCATTTTTTCCCTTGTTTTTTCCTTGCTGACTTTTTGCAGGGAAAAATGGTAAATTTCCGTGTTCAAATTTGATTTTTGGATATTATTTTTTGGGGGAAATTGTTTATTTTTTCCGGCAGTTTTTTAAAGAAATTGGATTAGTTGAGATTTTTTATTTGAGAAAAATATTGCGAAGAGGAAAGGAGGGATTGGGGATTTTGGGCAAAATCTCAGAATCTCAGAATCTCGGAACTTCAGAATTTCAAAATTTCAGAATTTGAGAGTTGCATATTTTTAGAAATTCAGAATTCCAGAATCACAGAATCTCAGAATCTAAGAATCTCAGAATCTCAGAATCTCAGAAGTTTAGAATCTCCAAATCTTAGAATTTTAGGTTTTCAGAAATTTCGAATCGCCATTTTTCAGAAACCGAAATTATCTCGAATTTCAAAGTTTCAGAGTCATGGAAGTTAAGAAATCTTGATTGAACTTTAGAAATTCAGAATCTGGGAATTTCAAATAGTGAAACTTCGGATTTTCAGAATCGCAAACCTTAACAAGTCTCAAAGTCGTGGAATTTCATAATCTCAGAGTTTCAGAATAGAAATTTCCAAATTCCGGAATGTCAAATTTTTCATAATCAATATATTAGAAGAAAAGAACCAGAATTTTTCAAATGTTAAATGAAAAAACTTCAATATGTCAAAATCTGAAAATCTCTGATTTTCGGAATCTTGGATTTTCAAAATCTTTTTATTTCCAAAAAAATCCGAACATCAGATAATCCTTCAGACATCAAGAATTTTAGCTTTAAGAAGATATTAGAAATTAGAGCACAAATTATAGAATCTCACATTTTCCGATTTGTTTTATTTATGGGCTCTCCTCAAAATTTGAAAAAAAAATAACAAGAAAAACATGTACAAAACATTCTAGCAAACATTTTTTTCCAGATCTCTATGGAAATCAAAAAATCTCCATGGGAACATCCAGGCAACACTTTTGAATTTTATTTGCAAAACTTTTCCAAATAAACTTTCGATATGTGGATCTTAAAACTTTTAATTTTTGGTAATTTTTGAAAAGAGTTCTAAAATGTCACAGTTCTGAAAAACACAACCAAAAAACTCACGGCGACTGAGAAGGAGATTCTCTGGATGATTGATTTCCCTCGGATTTCGCCTTGCTCGCACGGGATAATGGACGGGAGAGGGTGTCGAATACCTGAATAATTAGTTAGTTAGCCTTAATTAGTTGGGTAATTAAGAATGTTTATTTTTATAATGTTTCAGAAGTTCAGCTATTTGGGAAGTCCGAAATTCCGACTTCCTGAAATTCAAAAATTCACAACTTTTGAAATCGCTTTTTTATATTTCAGCATTGTAGGGAAGTTTGAATTTATTCATTCTCGAAAAATTCAAAAATTGGTCAAATTTTAAAAAATTGTATCGATAAAAATTTTACAGAAGAAAATTCGAAACATTGAAGGACATTTTTGAATTTTAAAGGGGGAATCCGACCAAAATTTTTTTTTTGTATAAAAATGTTTCAAAAGTTATCTTTTTTTTTCAAATATTATTGCGAAAAAATTCGAAAGAAATCCGAAATCCCCGAAAAACGCCGTTGAAAATGAAAAAAAATTCAAAAAAGGTGCCGCCGAGGGACNANGATTTNAATTCCCGCCCNNNGAGAAACCTANGCCACGGCGCCTGATAGCATTATTTTCAAGTGGCCGACAGTGTTTTTTAACGTTTTTTACCTGTCGGAGATAAAAGCAAAAAAAAATCCGGAAAAATTGTCCGGTAAGAAAGTCGCGCCGCACGCGTGGCCTAGGTTTCTCACTGAAAATCCTCGTCCCTCGGCAGCACCTTTTTTTTTTGAATGTTTTCCTTTTCAACAACGTTTTTCGGGGATTTCGGATTTTTGAAAAAAAAATTTCGCAATAATATTAGGAAAATAGATAACTTTTAACACATTTTAATGCAATAAAAAATTTGACCGGAGTCCCCCTTTAAGACTTTTTCTGGCCAACCTTCTCATGAATTTGCTTTTCACGGTTGTTGTAGCTCCACTCGGCCATGATGACTACTTTTTTCGAGAAAAAGTTTCAGAGATTTGTCTGAAAATATAAAAATGTCTAAAAATTTAAATAAAATGTGTGAATCTGGGAAATATGAGAGAAAATCTTCAAAAAAGATCAAAAAGAAAATTTAGGAAAATCATAATTTAAAATTTTTAAAATTTCAAATTTCTGATCTCACAAATTCAGGATTTCAGATTTTAAAGAAAACCAAAGTTTTGAAATGGTCCAAAATTGTCTACAATTCTGAAATTCTGAAATTCAGAAATTGAAAACTCAGAAATTCAGAAAAATCTATAATTCTGAAATTTGAAAAATTGGAAAACAAGAAAAAAACCAAGGAACTTTTTTTTTCGAGTAAACTGACAAAATCGAAATCACAAAATTCCAAGGTGCTCGTTTTTTTTGCTCCGGAAACTGCGAGAGGGATAAGCGGTAAGTGTGTGTGTGTGTGCTCCACGGAGCAAGTTGTACGCGGGGGTAAAAGAGCAAGAGCATATGATTTTTTTTTTTTTGCGTTTTGTGTACAGTTCTGCCAAGTGGAGGAAGAATATACAGGAGAAAAAAAATGGAGGAAGGAATTTTGGAATGGGTGTGGTGTTGACTTGAGCAAAGAAAAGATTAGTAATATGTGTCATTTGGAGAAACGGAAACAGAAAAAAAATTGGAGGATTTTGTTTCTTTTGTGCTAACTTTGCCTAAAAATTGAAAACGACAATTTTGAAACTATGGGTTTTTTGTAATTTGGGTTTTGAAATTTTGTAAACTTTTTGATTACCGTAAAACCTGTAATAGAAGAGCCCGTCAACTTTTAACTTTGAACTAATTTATCATGGTTCCTGTCAAAGATACAGAAAAGTTGTACTAATACATTGTTTATCATAATATCACAAACATTTTATCAGTTAACACAATTTTGATATCTTTTACAGGAGCCGAGATATGTGAACTCAAACTTGATAGTGTGTGGACCTCCTATCACGTGTTTCACGGTTTTTGAATTCGTGGATTTCGGAAATTCTGAATTTCTGAATTTCTGAGTTTTGGAATTTTGAATTTATGTGTTTCATGAACTTCACAATGTTTTTAGAATTTTGAGATTTCTCTGATTCTGTAACCCGAAATTAAATACAACATCTCGGAAATTCGGGAACTCCGGACCTTCAAAGTTTCAAAAATTTCCAGATTCCTAAAGAAGAATGTTCTCAAATATCAAATTATTTGCTCACTGAGCTCATCAATTTATTTGAATTAACCGGAAAAATCCAATAATCCATCTTTGAATGACCAAATAAAAAATTAGACGAGCCAAAGAAATCAGGAAATTTAGAGAAAAATTTTCCAACAAAAAAAAACTTCCGAAAAAATGTCTGCTTTAATGGACCAAAACAAAAATTGAAAAAAAAACCTGTTTTCGAAAATTATCTGAAAAATGTTATAAATTATTCCAACATTTCAAATTTTTATAGACAATTTTTTTCTATTTTTGAATACGTACTATGTAAACAAAAAGGACAACTGGGTCCATTTTTTTTTGACGTCAATCTGGTCATTTGTTCTGTTCTTTGAGATTGCTTTGAAGGAGGACTAGACATTTTTATTGAATTGGATTTTTTGGGAAGGACCCTTTTTTTGGAAAAATTGAATGGAACAAGAAAAACTTGATGTTTCTAATTTGGAAATAACTTTTTTCGGAAACAAAACACAGATTTTTGGAATTTAGAAATTTTTGCAAAATTTGAAATTTCTGAAACTCTGAAGAAATTCAGAAATTCAAAAATACGAAAATTCCCAAACTCAAAAAAATTTAAAAGGAAAATTATGACAGTCTAAAAATTGGAAAATTGAAATGTTGGAATTTCAAATTTTGACTTTTTGAGAATTTCAGAAATATTTTTTCAGAACTTAAAGACTAATAATTAAAAACAAAATTTACTAATGTTTTTCTGCAAAACTCAATTTTTCCCGTTTTTTCACATGTTGTAAGTGTAAACTACAAGTCATTAGACGCCCAATTCTTCTAAAATAATGAGCTCATTTAAAATATTTTTTTGAAAAATTTCCATTAAACTTTTGTGTTGTGCTGTCGAGAAAATGAGAAGTTGACTACTAAGTGATATGATTTATGGTGTCCCATAATATACGTTTGAACATCCTTTTTGAACGAAAAAAAAAAGTGAAAACTTGATGTTTGACATTCTCAAATAAAGCGAGGGAGAAGGAAAATTTGAGGATAAGGGGTTCAGAAATTGGAAATAAAAGTATTTTGAAAATTGAGAAGAATAGTAAAATTTTAGAAAATATGAAAAATGCGAAAAAACCATGAATTCAAAAATCCAGAATTTCGGAAACTCCGAAATTTTCAGAAGGATGAAAATTCAATTCTAGAAATTGAGAAATTCAAAAATGTTAAGCTTTTCAAATTCCCGAATTTTTTTCATAATAAATCACAATATTTTGACATTGATGTTTCCAAAAAAATATTCTGAAAGTATCTTATTGCAAAGGATCGGAAGTTTCCTAAAAAAGAACAAAACGTCAAATATCTGTAGATACCTACCAAAACACAGAAAAAAGAGTTTGGTTTTTTAATCTGAAAATTCTCAATAGTCTAAAACTTTTTCAAATATCCAAAAATACCCAAAATTTAATCATATTTCGAAAAGTCGAACAATTTGAAGTGGTGGCCTAACTTTTGCAAGTTGAGTTTTCTAGGCCACCAACTTTTTTGGCCTAGGAATGGTCTGATATTCACGTGATGTTTTTTCTAGATGATTTTAACGTGGTGGAATAGAAATCTCAACTCCCGAAAGCTAGACCACCACGGCAACATGTTCTAGAAAACACTAAAAGTGCATAGCCAAAAAAAGTTGGTGGCCTAGAAACCTCAATTTGCAAAAGTTAGGCCACCATGTTAAATGACCTAGAAAACATATCAGGTGAAAGTGAAACCATTTTGGGACCAACGACTACGGTGGCCTATGAAATTCAACTTGCAAAAGTTAGGCCACCATGTTAAAATGGCCTAGAAAACATACTTTTTTCGCCTAGCAATGACCTGATTTTGACGTGGTCTGTTTCCTATCATTTTAACGTGGTCACCTAACTTTCCAAACATGCATTTTCTAGGCCACCAAACTTGTTGGCCTAGAAAACATACCAGATGAATATCAGAGCAATTCCAGACCAAATAAAGGTGGTGTCCTAGAAAAGCCGATTTGCAAAATTAAGCAACTTTGATGTTTTGCTAGAATATTCGAAAAAAAAACTCAGAAGTTCGAAAAAACCCCTAAATTCAAAAAAACTTAGAAACCGCTCAAAAATGCAAAGATTCTTCTCAATGAGCACAAAAATGCCAAAGCGAAGAAAAATTAAACAGTAAGAGGGTGAGCAAATATAAAAAAGTGGAGGAGTGGATCAAAAAACTGAACACTTTTTCTTCAATTTTTTTTCGTCCCCCAAGTTTTCTCATTTGTTTATTTGCTCATACTCTCAAAATGAAAAAAGGAAGAGTTCGAGAGGGCGTGAATTTGGCACATTTTGGTTAGCTAGTGCTCAAAAGACTTGAAAATCTAAATTTTAAAGGAGTGGAGGGGGGGGGGGGACCTGAAAAATATATTTCCCAAAACTTCCCCTCGAGGAGTGAAAAATTAAAACATTAAAATTTCCCAAAAGTTTGAACATCAAAAAACTGAAAGCTCCAAGAAAAAAAGATGTAATTTCTGAGAATAAAAAAATACTAAAAAGTAATGAAACTCTTGGAAAAAATTATGAAAATTCCAACATTTTAAAATGTTATAAATGAAAACTCTGACCGATTTTTCAAATATCTGAAAATCCAGAATTAACAATAATGAAAAATTTAAAAAAAAGTATTGAATTCGAAATTTTCTGATGACACAATTAAAAAAAAAGACATTGAGAATGAAAAAATTGAATTACCCCACACCACCCTCTAAAGAAATCTCAGGAGAGTTTCAGATGACGTGGCAGTCTGAAACTTAAACTTCACGCTCCAAAAATTCAGAAGACAGAGATCCAAACTTTGAATGTTGTTGGAAAAAATCCTACAAATTTGAGCTGAAAACTTTTTTCAAAAAGCTCAAAACTGGAAAAATAAGGATCATCTATCCCAAAAAAAAAAACTCAAAAATATAAGAAAAAACGGAAACATATTTGAGTTGTGATTGATTGACAAGTATATTGTGATATAAAAATAGGTAGCAAAAACAACAACAAATGTTTTCAGACTTTTTTTGCCTGAATTCGTTTCTTTAACAATTTGCGAAAATTCCAGTAGTTTCACATTTCTATGAATTTCAGGAAGTTCCAGAAAACTCAGAATTTGTATGATCTGAACAAACTCAGAAAGTATATAACTTTAAAAATGTTTAGATTTTCAAGTTTTGGAAATTCGGATTTTCAGAAATTCTAAAAATTCCAGAAATTGAGGTTTAAAAAAAATCAACGCGTTACAGATTTAGAATTTTAGAAAACTGGAAATTCAAAGATTCAGAAATTTAGAGAACAGCTAAACTTTTTTCGTACAGTCCCAAAATCCAGCTGACTAATGACGTAGATTCATTCACAACAAATAAAAATCCCCTTTTTTCCACAATTTTTCGGCCTGTCATGCGGAATATCCGGTGAGGATCAGATTTCGGCCATTCGTATAGTTCTAAGATTTTTTTTGGAGGAATTTTCCATATTTAGACAGGGAATTTGGTATTGGATTGAGGTTGGGATGAAAGAGCAGCGAATCAAAATGATTCGCAAATTATATGTTTTTTAACTTTTATTTTGGAATTTTTGAATTTTTTAAAACATTTCAAAAGATAATTTAAATTTCAAGTCATAACCCAACATTTGGATCTCTGAATTTCTTGGTTTTATTTGAAAACCAAAAATTCAAAAATTTTTGATGAAAATTACAAATCCAGAAACGCCGAAAAGTCTGAGTTCCTAAGATTCTAAGATTCTGAAAATCAAAAAAAAAATTGAAATTTTAAAATTCTTTTGATTTTGAATGTTGACAATTATGAAATCTGAAATTATAAAAATCTGGAACTCTGAAAAACTGAAATTTTGAGAGGTTGTGATTCTGAAGTTCTGAGATTCTGAGATTCGGAAATCTGAAATTCTAAAACTCGGATATTCTGAAATTCTGGAGTTCTAAAAATCTGGAATTCGGAAATGTCTGAGATCCTAACCTTTTAATGACTCGTGTTGAATCCTGATTTATCTGTGTGTCTGTTTGTCCAGATCTCCGCTTTTTTTATTTGTATTAATATATTTGCACATGTTTCTTTCAAGTTTTTTTTTCTCCGAACGTCGAGCAAATAAATATTACACTTTGACGGTTAAGGCAAGATTACTGAGCAAGACCTCTCTCGCTCAAAAATTTGAGCCAACAGAGAAAAAATCGTGAGTGTAGAAAATCAGGTAATTTGGTACACTAAAACAAGTGTAAGCACAAATATTACGCAGAAAGTGTTCTGAAGTATGTATAATTGCATAATGTACGTACTATGGTCTAGGGAAGATTTGAAAGTGACCTTTTGATTACTGTATTTTGTGCAAAAAAAAAATGATACAGTACCGGTCAGTAAAAGATACGAAAACGTATTTTCAGTTGATTTCCGGCCACTTTGAAAGATTTTCTGTCCCCGACTTTGAGCAATTTTTTCTCGATTTTTCCGGGGATCCGGGATTCCGGAAATCCGGGATTCCAGAGATCCGGGCTTCCGGGCTTCCGGGCTTCCGGGCTTCCGGGCTTCCGGGCTTCCGGGCTTCCGGGCTTCAGGGCTTCAGGGCTTCAGGGCTCCTGGGTCCTGGGTCCTGGGTCCTGGGTCCTGGGTCCTGGGTCCTGGGTCCTGGGTCCTGGGTCCTGGGTCCTGGGTCCTGGGTCCTGGGTCCTGGGTCCTGGGTCCTGGGTCCTGGGTCCTGGGTTCGAAAATTCCTAGTTTTTCAGCTACCTTTAAAATTTCAAAGTGATCGGAAACTTGGCAGCCGAGCTCCATGCTCCTGAAAATGCTCAAAATGGTCCACAAGTTCAACTCCGAGAAAACTTCATATGAACAAAATTCCAAGAAAATTATTATATTTTTCGTATCCCTTTGAATAAACTTCTCTATCATTTCCGTTTACCAGTGATCACCACACTCCTGATCATCACAAACATCAAATTATTAATAAAGAGAGAAAAGTTCAATAGAGCAAAAAAAGTTATATTTTTTGCAGACGAAAAAAAATTTAGTGAAGTGTGGTAAACAAAAAATCTGATCACACGAAACTCATCTGTTTAAAAGTACTATTTGTTATTTTTGCTCCTATAAAAAATACATTTTTTATGATGATCACACGAAAGTCTAAATTGCATAAATATCACATATAAATAATCTTTTCAGTACTTTTTCTGTTTTCTAATCTTGTCTGAAAAGAGTTCTGAGTTAATCTCTTTTCATTCGACCTGTTTTCAAGGTATTTCTTTTTTTTCAAATCATATAAAAAATAATTTCAGATAAAAATTATATAATCCTGAAAATTTAGTTTCCTTTTTTTTGTTTTTCTGATCCCAAAAGCAAATCAAACATTATTTTTTGAGATTTGTCACGTAGACACAAATAATCAGACAGAGGTAAAATATGAAATCAGAAAATTAGGATTTAGGTGTGTTGTGTCGAAAAAAATTATATTTTTTAGGCAGTTGAAAAACTTCTTTTTTCAAATTTAAGTTTGAAATTTCGTTTTTTTTTTGAGAATTTTCGCAATTGCTGTTTTTTCAGGAGTTCTGAATTTCAGAACTTCTGAATTTCCAAATATCTGAATTGTTATATTTCTGAATTTTGGAGAAAGATTGTGAGATTCCTGGAACATTAGATTTTGAACCTTTGAATTCTTCAATTTTCCTGAATTTCTAAGTTTTTTCAGAATTTCTGAACTGCTGAATTTCTGAATTTTCGAATTTCAAAGTTTTTGAATTTCCGAATTTCAAAGTTTATGAATTTCCGGTTTTTCAATTTTCTAAATTTCTAAAGAGCTGAGTTTCTAAACTTCTGAATCTTAAATTCTGAAAAAAATTTCTGAAGAAACTGAATTTTCTAAAAATTTCATTAAGATGCCCGCTCTTCAAAAATGTCGAATTTGTGGAAGTGCCAAACATATTGGATCACGTTATCGTGCAGATTCGACTTGTGCAGCATGTGCTTCGTTTTTCAGAAGAATTGTGAATCTGAAAAAATCTGAAAATTTGAAATGCAGAACTCTGTCGGAAAAATGTTTGGAAGAACAGTTTTTGGACCCGGATAAGAATAGTGAGTTTATTTTTTTTTTTGAATTTTTTCATTTATTTTTCAGAAATCAAAAAAACAGCTTACAGGTAAAAAATTATGCAAATTTTGCCGATATCAGAAATGCTTGAAAATTGGAATGGAACCGGAATGGTCTGAAGAAACAACAATGGTATTGGTTACGAAAAATGTAATTTTTTCCAAAAAGTCTGAAGTTTAGAAATTAGGAAACTCAAAACTTCGAACGACTTTCAAAAATTCCAAGATTCAGAAACTAAAAATTATCAGATTGTTCATATCATTTTTTCAGACTGGACCAGAAATCAACACTTTCAGAAAATTGGATGATGAAATGTCTAAAAACTTGAAAAATCTTAGGAGCGCTGAAAGAATAATCACCGAGTATACTGAAATTTTTCTGGATTCTGAAAATCAGAAATTCGAGAAAATTCTGGAAAACGTTGCTGGACAGAATGGTCATTCTATTGTTCCTCTGGAATAGGAAAAGTGAGGAAACTAAAAAACAGTTTTTGATTTTAAAAAAGTTGTTTTTCAGAAAATCCAATTTGTGGAAACAGATTTTTTCATCTATCGAATTTTCGAAATCATTCGCCTTTTTTGGGAATTTTCTTTTTTCGGATCGAATTTTAGTTTCGTCCAGAATTGTTGTCATTTTTATGATTTTGAATAATTCGTTGTCTGATATTTTTGGAGAATTTGAAAATCGGAAAAACGGAAACCGCCAACAAAAAATGTGAGTTTTTTGAAATATCTCATTTTTCGAAAACTGCAAAAAGTCAAAAAAATGTTTTCGGAGTTTTCAAATTGTTCCGAATTTCGGAATTTTAGAAACTTTTTCAGCTCAGTTTTCCCCTTTTTTCTAATTTTTAATTTTTGTTTGAAATGTTAAAATTTAAAAATATTTCCAGAATTCCAAAAGCTGACAGTTTTCCTCCGCTCATAAGAAATCAATTGGATTCAAATGAATATTCAATATTAAAAGCCATTTTGTTGTGTAATCCAGGTACTACTTTTTCAGGAATAGTTTTTCAAAAGAATTTTTTTCAATTACCGTATTAGCTCTAATGAAGCCTACACAAGGGAGTGCCACTCTATACTTTTGTTCATAACTTTGCTCAAACTTGTCCAATAATTTTTTTTGTAGCTGAATTTCCAACAAAACGTTATATAAGTTTTTTGAAACTCAATCAATTTTTGTGTCTTCTGAATCTTCACAGACGGGACGATGACTCCAGAAAAAAAAATTTCCGTCAGAATTATTTTAAAGATTGCCTTCGTGATGAAAAATGTTTGGTGTAAATCAAGTATATACCTTTAAAAATTTGAGGCAGTTTGGAACACTCTTGAGATGTGCTCACTGGAGCATAAAAGGTATGGTTCTGGAGTTTTGCTATAACTCGGTTCAAAATAATCCAAATTTGCTCAAATTTTGAGAGAATGCGTGGTTTTGAATGCTTTACAATATACATACAAAACTTTGTGTTTTGGGAATAAAAAATGTTTCATAATTTTTTTCATTTTCATGTACCGAAGACAAACTATGTATTATGAAAAAAAAGTTTATTTCCAAAATACAAAGTTTTTTTATGTATATTGTATAGCAATTTATGACACACATTCTCTCATAATTTGAGCAAATTTGGATCATTTTCAGCCGAGTTATAGTCAAACTCCTGAACCATACCTTTTATGCTCCAGTGAGCATCTCAAAAGTAAGTGTCCTAAACCGCTACAAAATTTTTTTACATATTTTATCTACACCAAACATTTTTCATCACAAAGCCTTTAAAAAAATTCTGACGGAATTTTTGTTTGCTTCTGGAGTCATCGTCACGTCTGAGAAGATTCAGAGGGCACAAAAATGGATTGAGTTTTAAAAATTTATATTTGTTGGAAATTCAGCTAAATTTAATAAAAAAGTTTTCAATGATTGGACAAGTTTGAGAAAAGTTATGAACAAAAGTATAGAGGGACACTCACTAATGTTCGCCACTGTATCTCGATGTCTCGGAGAAATATTATAAATCTGTCAACTGATAAAATGTTTATCATAATATCACCAATATTTTATCAGTTGCCAAATTTTTGTTATTCTTCACACTAAGCGAGATAATAGAGCTCGAAGTTGACGGTTTAGCTTCTATTAGAGGAATTAGGATAATTCGTGATTAATTATAGGAATCCGAAATTTATCTCCATCGGGCCAAGAACTATTATACCATTCTCAAAACGAGTATTCCAATATTTTATTACATTATTCGGGTCCCGAAAAGTTTGAAAAGTTAGTATATCATTGGAGTTATTCCGGTTTTAGAGGAAAAACGATTTTTTTATAATCAAAGTGAAATTTCCAAAATTCTTCCGATGAACGATATTATACGGTACATCTTAAGTGATCCAACTTTTCTTCTGGTTTTTAAGAAAAATTAACACTTTTCAATTTAATTGTTTGTATATGTGTTTTTGTAATAAAGAATTGTTTTAATTTTTTTTTCAAAATTTTCATTCTTTCAAAGACAATATCATTCTTTCATTATTTAACCAGCTGGTACGCCTTCGGCGCGATTTGATCTAGTTTTTTTACTGGTCGGTCGCTCAGTTCTATATTTTTTCTTAAACGGTCATCTATACTTATTTCTCAAGTTTTTCAAAAGTCGACAGACTGGCACCGGGAAAGACAGACGCGTGTAGCGTTTTATATATAAGCACTTGGGTTGAAGCCAGTGGGTCAGAAATTGCGCCCCAGTAAACGTGAGATTTTAGAAAAAATTCGCTGCTGAATTATGTGCTGAGGATCAAACTTTTAAACGTTGCACGATAAAAATCACGCGTTGCAACTCGTTGATCAGAACTAATTAGGTCAAATCCACTTCAACTTGGAATTTATTAAATTTCTTCTGGCCTAACAAGGGAGTTACTTGAAGGAGCAGGTTTAACTTTTTTTTGAAATTTCGGGAGCAAATAGAAGAGCTTATGAGGATTCCAAATCTGTTGAAAAAATCAGCAAAATGCTCACGTGAGCTGAGTTATGACCTAGAAAAGTTTCCCTATGATTAAGCAATTTCTCGTGAAATTTTTTTCACGGAATAGTGTATTTCTTTTAAAACAATAGATTTCAATCAGCAGTGTGGTAAAGTGGTAAAATGGCAAGTTCAGTGCAGGAAGGTTGTAGGTTCAATTCTCCCGATCCCAAAAATTTTGCAAAATTTTTGGTTTCTCGTTATGAATAGACATTTTCCAGAATAAAAACAGACATTTAATTTTTGAAGAAATTCACTAATCATGGGTTCATCGAAGATTTTTCAAAAATTTTTTTAAATTTTTTTTGTTTTTTTTTAATTGAAAAAACAGTTGAGGATTCTAAACACATCGGTGGCATTTGATGACAAACTGCTGGAAACATATGTTCTTGGCACAATACGCGCATTTGACCATTGACAATGTTTTGCACCCAGATAATTGGCACTTTCGATAATTTTCTTCAAAAATTAAATTTCTGTTTTTATTCTGGAAAATGCCTGTTCATAACGAGAAACACCCGAAAAACACGTTTAGATTGCGTAAATTTTATTCCAGAACCAGTTATGGCAGCTTAAAATAAAACAAAAAAATTTTGCAAAATTTTTGGGATCGGGGGAATCGAACCTACAACCTTCCTCCTCTGAACTTGCCATTTTACCACTTTACCACACTGCTGATTAAAATCTATTGTTTTAAAAGAAATACACTATTCCGTGAAAAAAATTCCACGAGAAATTGCTTAATCATAGGGAAACTTTTCTAGGTCATAACTCAGCTCATGTGCGCATTTTGCTGATTTTTTTAACAAATTTGGAATCCTCATAAGCTCTTCTATCTGCTCCCAAAATTTCAAAAAAAAGTTAAACCTGCTCCCTCAAGTAACTCCCTTGATCCAAATTGTTTTGTAGCTCGGGTATCTTCCGATGAACGATATTATACGGTACATCTTAAGTGATCCAACTTTTCTTCTTAATTTCAATTTAATTGTTTGTATATGTGTTTTTGTAATAAAGAATTGTTCTAATTTTTGTTTTTTTTTTCAAAATTTTCATTCTTTCAAAGACAATATCATTTTTTCATTATTTAACAAGAAAGCTGGTTTTTCGGATTTTTCACGATCCGAATTGTTTTGTAGCTCGGGTATGAATGAAAATCAGCAAAATCGCATGAAATGTGACGGAAAGTACAAATCCGACGAATTGCACAATTCCGAATTCTATGAAAAGTCCCATTCTGAAAATAATGAAGAAAACTTGAAAAATGTACGAAAAATGCGAAAAATTGAAAAAAATTACACATTGAAAACCATCCCAATGAGAAAAATTTTTAATTTGAATTTCTGAATTTTTTCTACGTTTCTAAAACTTGAATTTTTGTTCCGATTTTATGATTTTCTGACTCGCTTAACTCTCAGCCAGCCCTGAATATCTATTTTGAGTAAACAAACCTCGTGTACACAAAATGATTTTTCGGATTTTTCGGGAAACCTGAAAATGATCTTGTTCGAAATGCGGTAAATGAGAAACAACAAAATCGGATGAAAAGAATTGAAAACTTTTGCAATATCTGTAAATGTCTAAAAGTATTATTTTTCAAACACAAATTAAAAATAGATTTATATTTGTGACCACATGTCAGCTAGACTAATCAAATCTGAAAGTAAGTAAATAAAAAATTGAATCATTAGTATATTGGTTTGGGTGGAAATTTTCCACTAGAAAATACCAGTGAAAATTCGCGGCTACGCCGCGATTTCCACTGGCTTCAGTTCAAATTCAAAAAGTTCCAATTATCATTTTATTTTTTGAAAATTTATTAGTAGAACAATTGATTAGAAGAACAATTTTAAAACCATCAAAAAGGGAAAATTCAGATCAACAGTTTAATTCCTAGAAAAGGATAGTTATGAAAAATGGCTATGGGTTGAAAAATTTAAGCTAGAAATGGAGCTACAGGATGTTTTTGTAAACAATGTTATGCATGACTTTTTCTGGAGCTCAAACTCTGATTCCATCCTTAGTTCCAGACATGAGCGGAATTCCTTATTCCTTATTCCTTATTCCTTATTCCGGGTGTTTTTTCTATTCCTTATTCCTTATTCCTTATTCCGGATTTTAAATTTTTCATTCCTTATTCCTTATTCCTGATTTTTAAATTGTTATTCCTTATTCCTTATTCCTGATTTTTTTTTGTTATTCCTCTTCAAAAATTTAAAAATTTTTCTATCAAAAATCAGAAAAAAATCTCAAAACTGGGAAAAAAATTTGAACGCTCTAAATTGCCGCGTAAAATTTTGCTCAACAGAGCACCTTTGCACCGTTTTTCAAAAAATTTTTTTTTTTGGAAATCTTGGAAAAGTTATGCGTTTTTCTCAGTGTTTTTTTCGAAATAAATTAGGTTTTTACAATTACTAAATACTTCAGAAAAAATGTCTAAAAAACGGAGAAAGTTTGACGAATG